AAGAACAAAATACAAAGGGGCAAGAGGAGAGAACAAGGATATAAACGAAGGGGGGGGGTGACACGAGAGTTCTGTTCGTTTTCAGTTTAGAAATCGAAGAATGAGATATTCGGGTTGGTTTAAAGTAAGTGCATTTGGGTTTTATAAATATTTTTGCAGAAGCCAATTTCGGAGATGTTTTTGGAAGAGTCTTTTGACTGGTTTAGAGCGAATATTAAGTGGGATTTCGTTCCAGATTTTAACTCCATTGAACGTAATGAATCTCTTTTTAAGGTTAGTTCTTGCTTTGGGGATAGCAAAATTTTGTTTTGCAGCTTGCCGTGTATCATAGCTATGTCTTGATGTTGTTTTTTGGAAGAGCTGACAAAGAAAATCCATTTGCGTGCCTGTGTTTACGTCATACATAAACTTTGCACATTGCAGGGTGTAACTATCATTGAGGTTTAATATATCAAATTTATGGTAAATTGGTTTGGAGCTTGCTGTGTTTTTAGCAAAGTTCATTATTCGTAGAGCTTTGTTTAGATTTCGGCCCATAGGTTTTAGGGAGGACAGATTTGCACTCCCCCAGTTAATTAAAGCATAGTTGACGTGAGGCTCGATAAAAGAAAAGTATAAGTTCCTTAAGATTTGTGGAGGAACATAATGCCTAGCCTTAGCTAGTATTCCAATGCCTTTAGAAATTTTTAGATTTACCTGTTGAATGTGTTGTTTCCAGCTAATGTCCTTATCTAAGAGTACACCAAGGTATTTTATACAATCCTTTTGAGCAATTGATTTGTTATTAATTGCTAATTTTATTTCATTTGTTTTATTTTTTATCGAGGGAGAGATTATGAGGAAGTTTGATTTATCAACATTTAAGGTCAGTTTATTGGCTACTAACCAGTCTGAAACTTTGCTGAGCTCATCGTTTACGATGAATTCTAATTGACTTAGATTCTTATGCGAGAAGAAGATACTAGTATCATCAGCAAAGAGGTGAAATTTTAGGATGTTTGACGAAAACGGCATATCGTTAATATATAGAAGAAAAAGCAAGGGCCCAAGGACACTGCCTTGTGGGACTCCAAATTTTATATTGCAGGATTCTGATAGAGTGCCATTTATGCATACTTTTTGTGATCGGTTTGTTAGGTAAGATTTAAACCAATTTAGGGTTATGCCTCTTACTCCATAATATTCAAGCTTGTAGATTAGTATATTGTGGTCAACAGTATCAAAAGCTTTAGCAAAATCTAGAAAGATACAAGTTGAAAACTGTTTGTTTTCAACAGCATTTACTAACTGTGTACAGACGTCGAGTATGGCAAGAGAGGTTGATTTGTTTTTTTGGAATCCAAACTGGTGATTAAAAATTATTTTATGCATATCAAGGAACTTTATTAGTCTGGCATGCATTAATTTTTCAAATATTTTATTAAAAATAGGAAGTAGGGAGATAGGTCGGTAGTTTGTAACTTCAAGTTGAGACTTTCCCTTGTAAACGGGCACTACTTTAGCATATTTCAGCATAGTAGGATAGACTCCCGAGCTAAAGGATTCATTGATTAGATCTGTCAATGGTTCTTTTAAAGAATTGCCAATACATTTGATAAGTTTTACGGGTACATCATAAGCATCTGGGGCTTTAGACTCATTTAGCCTTCCTAGTTCATCATGAACTTCAGAAGGATCAACTGGTGATAAAAAAAAGCTAGCAGCATTTGGCTGTGTTAGATAATCTTTATAGTGACTATTTGCCGGACTTAGTTTATTTACAAGATTTTGGGCGATATTAGTAAAGAAATTGTTGAAAGCATTTGCTACACTTTTACGATCCGATAACAAGCTACCTGCAATATTCAATTGGAAGCTGCGTGAATTTTTTGCTTTATTTTTATGAAGAAGGTCGTTGATGCCTTGCCAAATTTTTTTAGAATTATTTTTATAAGTTTCAAAATAGGACAAGTGATACAGTTTTTTGCTCAGTCTTATGACGTGATTTAGCTTGTTTTTGTAAATTTTATAACGTTGGAACCAGAAATTGTCTTTAGTTTTAATAAACTTTTTATAGAGTGAATTTTTAGTTGAAATAGACTTTAAGATACCGTTGGAAATCCAGGGTTTAAGCTGTTGTTTACGTTGTCGTCTGGTTCTTTGTCTCAGTGGGGCGTGTTTATTAATAATAGTTAACAGCTGAGATTGAAACAAGTTATATTTTGTATCTAGGTCATTTGAGTTTACAAGACTAGAATTAAAATCTATTTTATTGATATCATCTATGTAATTTTTATTAACAAAGTTTCGATAATCTCGCGACATTGATATGTCTTTGGTGTTATTTTTACCTTTTCCATCATAAATTACGAAATTGGGTAGATGATCTGAAACCTTATCGATAAGATTTCCACTAACTGCGTTCAGTTGAAGAGAATTGATGAATATATTATCAATTAAACTAGGAGTAGAAGTATCATTTATTCTCGTTGGTTGGATAATTAATGGTTTTAGAAAGTTTGCAAGCATTAAGTTAAGAAAGGAATCAGCACATGGTATTTTATCAAATTTTAGAAGATTAAGGTTGAAATCTCCGCTTAGTATGACTAATTTGTTTTCTCGGCCTATTTTGTTAAGAACAGTTTCAAGGTATTTTAGAAAACCTGAAGAATCTTTGCAGGGATGCTTGTATGCAACACCGATCAAGGTATTTTTTCCCTTAGGGTTATTAATCTCAATCCAGAGTGATTCGAATTCGCAATTTTTATCTTTTGAAGCTTTTGAAAGATCGTCACGTCGAAGAAAAGATAGGTGGTCAGCTAGAAAAAGGCCACAGCCACCCTTAAGGCTATTGCCTGTTAGTCCTTGATAGTCATGGTAGCCTTCTAACCTGAGCTGACGTATACAGGCATTGTTTTGCTTGGTGTGCCAAGTTTCAGTAAGTGCTAGAATATCAAATCTATAGTCAAGGTTACAGAGCAGAGTTTGTAGGTTTCCAAGATTTTTCCGGACGGAGGAGATGTTTGTGTGTAGAATACCCGAGGTATTATTTTTATTTAGGTTTAGCTTTTGAGTAAGTTTATGGAATTCATGGTTATCATAGTAGTTAAAATTAGTGCTGTCATCTAGATTGGTATCAACATCATTTTTGAATAGCATTTCGTGTTCTTTAAAAGCTAGTTTACAAGTTTTAAGGCTATCAAGGTGACTATAGTTTACTAGGGAGATACCCGAGGATTGACATTTACATGAGAAATTGGAGTTGAAAGAAAGAGTAGACAGTTCATCGTTGTCGATCTGCGAGAAAGGAAGTGAAGATAATAGACTAGAGATGCAGTGTGGACATTGCCAAGATGTTAAATGAGAATCAACTTCATTTATACAGAAAGTGTTTAACTTGGCACATTTTTTGTGAATGAGATGAAGGCATTGACCACAGGGAATGGAATTTATGGCAGAGCGGATAGACTTCTTACAGACCGAACAAGTTTTGTCATATCCTGTTGATGCAGATGTGATAAGATTGAATTTGGAGACGGATTTAGCACTTGCAGTAAAATTAAGCTCCCTATTGAGTTTGGCGTCATCAAGGTTTTGAAAAGGAAACACGGTGTTGCGGCATGGGCGGCAAGACCAAGTACTAACTTCGTCGTTTGCGAGAATCTTAAAATCCTTTTTTTTTAAACCTGAACATTTTAAATGAAACCAGAAATCACAGAAATCACAACAAATTGAGTTGTGATTATCGCAGACTATTTTTTTACACCTAGGGCAGAGTCTGTTTTCACTCATTTTTATTTTTAAGGGTTGTTTGTAGGTATTTGAAAGTTACATAAATTAGATATAAAATTAATAAAAACTGTTTTTGAATAATGGCTGAACAGAAGAAAAGGAAAAAAAGTATCTCACTCTATTTTATCCAGGTCCGCAATGAAATTTACCTTAAGGGCTGGGGCCTTTTCATCTTTTCGTAAGAATATTGAGCCATTTCGTGTCCAGATGAATTTAATGTTCATTTCTTGTTTTTTGATCTTCGTTAGGCGCAGTAGGTTTTTGAGACAGCTGGTCAGGCTTTCGTTGATGAAGATTTTTCCTTTGTTTGGGTTATTAGGGTCGGGCTGCAAATCGTAACCGAGATCTGTGGTGCGAAGTTTCTTAGCTTTGGTTTTTGACTCTTTTGACATGAATTGCTCCTTCTTTTTCCTCGATTTGAATTTGACGATTATAGGGGCATCAGGCCTGCGTGAAATGCGATGGCATGCTTCGATGTCGTCTTCCTTTAGTGGGATATCAATTTTTTCTGCTATGTTAAGGACTATTACTTCACAATTTTCCTTATCATCGCGCGGAATACCACCAAACTCAAGCATTTCTCTCCTACCATACTGCTCAAGGTCATCAATTGTTTTAGCACGTTGATCGTCTTTCTTCTCTAGCTTGATGATACGAGAGGCCAAACTTTCGTTTTCCTTTTTCAGTTCAATGTTCTCACGCATAAGATTCCCAACTTGTGTCCGAAAAGTTTCGTATTGGTCGGCTTGAAATTGTTGAGAGTTTTCAATGTCAACCAGTTTTTTTTCAATGTTTGTTAGACGAGAGCCAAGAGTATTTTCTATTTCTGTTTTTACTGTGTCTTGGATTCCAGCAATTGTTTTACCAAGGCGATTTTCCACAGCACTCAAGCTTTGTAAAATGAAGTCTTTGATTTCTTTATTCATCTCCATTTTTATAAATATTATTTAAACTCTGTGTCATTTTAAAACATAAAATTAAAAGAAAAAAAACATAAAAAGAGTTCACCAAATTAGTTATTTGACAGCGTGAAGTATTTCAAGTTCTTTCATGTTACCGCCAAATAAAACACGTCCGCTCACTAGCGCGAAAATACGGTACCAAACTTGGAAAATCTTGTAAATAGATTTTTCTAAAATTTTGCAAGTCAATTGTAAGTGTTATTCATGTACAACCAATTATTAATTTCAACTATAATAAGTTTTTATCTTTATATGTAACTATGAGACTTACTTGAACCTCAGAGGCTTCACCTTGTGTCTCTGCTTCATCAGTTTCAGCTAGGATAATTGCCAGAAACTAATCCCCCAACATCCTCCCACACACTACGCCCATGGATAAAGATCTTATGAAATATTTGCAAGCTTTTACTTTATCGTTATACCCAAAAAGCTATGGTTATTCTCTGTCATTTATTTCGTTGCTAAACATCTGATTTTGTCGAAAATTATACACGGTTGTCTATAGGTGAAGTCCAGAAAATATTCAAGTACTATAATTTATGACACTAGACATATGAAAGAATGATAAGAGTTTATCTGCTGTCTTCTTTCATTATCAATGTCGTTATGTTATGTTCAAATTTATAATTATATTCAAATTGCTAGATTTTTGTGGGCAAATCTAATTTTCTCGCTCCTTATTTGGATTTTCCTATCTACGTCACTGTTCTCGGTAAGATGTTTTTGAGAAAATGGCAGTCTAGAGATAGCCAGAAATCTTAAATACTCACAAATGTGTGGGACCGAATGAAGTTTCTAGAAGCTCTTCAAATACTTATATACTTTTTTATTACTATGGACTATCTGTCTCGATATCTGTCAAATACCTATAGATTTATCTGTCTCGATTTTGGGATGAGGACGGTAAAAGTCTTTCAATAGTTTTAAAATAAACCTTTAAGCGGAAAAAATGGAATTTGTTTAACAATAGAACATGAACATAAGAGTATTAACAGAAGAACCATACAAAAATATCCAGTGGCATGAGGGAGGCTTGTAAAGCTACAGAATCATTTTTTCTCAACTGATTATAAATAAACAATCCTCTGCGAGATAAAAATATTAGTATGTTACTTTTGGACGTTTGATAAGCAGTGGTGAACAGCAACTGGATGCCTGGGTGTTATTGTAAAGAATCTGGGGGCCCACCCCACCCTTTATTCTTTCTACGCAGATAATTTTTTTGCGTCAGAGAAATTGAGGATTAAACATTAAGCATATTTTATATATTTCTCAACTGAGTCAGAGAAACAGAGGAAGGTTGTAGAGACAAAAGGAACTGAGTAGGGTGACCAAAAATTCGGAAACTTAAGGAAGTCTAAAGATTCATATTGGCTTTTCGTTTTCAAAACAAAGACAGACAAATAATAAAAAACAATAAATATTTTTAAACCTCACGTTTTTTTAATTCTTTGCATTGTTAAATTAAGGCATTAACTTTTCATAATTTATATATTTAAGTTGTGACACGCTATTGTTGTTAATTGATAAAAGCATATAGCTTTACATCTGTCCAAAAAGTTCTAAAATTGAAAATATGCTACATTTTTTTAAAAATGTTTTGAAAAACAGAATTGCAAGAACAAGGGATTACTACTGGTTAAGTACCCCCAATTTCCTTAACAGCACCAATTTAAAACCCTTTAAAATGAGGAAGGTTTAATATCTAGATTTTTTGGCCGGAGGAAGATTGACAACTTCTGGACTCTGCCCCCCTTTTAACCCTCAAGTCAAATGAAGCCCCTGGTTGAAATTAAGAAATGAGAATAACTAATAGTCGAGAAAACAATAGGGTAAATGATCTTTGCCAGGGACGCCTGCACAAGATTGAGGCAGAAGGGGCAGTGTTGGTGCTGAGGGAGAAATGGTAGAACAGGATTAAGATTCCTACGTGAAGGGTGGGTTTTCCTTGGGTTACGTCGTGAAAAGGCCTTAACTATCCGTGAATTCTTGAATGAAATTTTGAATGATAATTTAAAAAATTGCCTCAATTTGGTACGTAAAAAACCAATTTTGCAGTGCATGAATGCGTGAAAAGTCAAAAAATTGTGCGTGAATGCGTGAATCACAACCACTATGGGGGGGGGGGTGTGGTTGGGGCTCTATGGTAGGCTCGATGCTGCTAGGGCCCTGATTCAAGGCAAGATTCCATGTTTTTGAAACCAATTAGAGGCGTCCATATTTTGGACTGCCCTTTTTGTAATGAATTGGCGTCAAATTTCCAAAATCTGGCCCCTTGGAAACTGGAAGATCTCATGCAGGGGCTCAGCGGCCATGACTTTCTTAGGGACTCGTACACCCCCCTCCCGCCCCTAGAAATGATGAAAAATTATGAAACTTCGTTTCCCACTAAGTCTAACGAACAACAAATGATGCTCCCAACCTAAAAGGCGTTATAGAAGTTCTAGGGAAAGATGTAGTACTTTGAATAAAGTAAAACATTGCGGGTCAGAACGTTGGATACAGGAATGCCGCAAGTATGACTAGGCAAAGGGGGAGTTAGCAGAAACTTTAAACAAAGGCATGAAAATGTAGGTGAGGTAAGTGAGCCGAGTAAAAAGGAGGAGGTTCGGAGATGCTCCTCCAGAATTTCCTTTTCTTACTACACCCCAAGTGCCGTTGTAATGAAATTTCATATTAGGGGGGGGGGGGGCGCGATTGGCTACTCTTTGTATTCCTTCACACTCAGTACACTGCTGTACTGGAATTATACCAGAGTTTGATAATTATCAGGGGGATCCAGCTGCCCAGCCCCCACGGTTCACACAGACCTGACCTCAGTTTGGTGGCTTTAAGCAACATCAGATTATATTTTGCTGCAATTAGGAAATGTTCGAAGTGATAAAGGCAAAGGGAGGAGCTTATTGTTAATTCTCCAGAGTAAATTCTCCAAGGTATTTGCCTATCTTGAATTAAGTGCCAATTATGAAGTTTTGTTCCCAGAATTAACTAAATGTCACCTTTAACCAGGCCCAAATCTAGTAGAGAGTTGAGCCTTGCTGCGAGAAAGATTTTTTGTCAAATATCAATGTAATGTTATCTAAAGCTCTGATAGGCAAATGAGATGTAGGAAACTTATGTAAAGGGTGGGCATGGAGCACACTCTACTTGCTAGAACCTGGAATTCTATGACACTATGAACAAAAGGCACTTTCTGCCTCCTCTGGCCTCTGGTTGGATATTCATATTCAATTGGATAGTCCAGTTCTGGTGATGTAATTTTACAATGAGATAAGTTTGGAACAGAGACAATTTTTGATTTAAGATAGTTGAAGGAAAACTGAAAGCTGCAGGTTGGTATTAGTTTTCATATCTTCCAATTTTTAGATTTTTGGATGAAAGGGGTGGGGTGTTTTTTGTTTAATATATTTTTACATATTCCCATCATTTCTGCCTAAACTTCTTCAGCTTTAAGATTTCATTGTTCTGTATCAAAAATACATTTTTGTTGTGATATATAGTGGGAAAAGTATAAAGCAATGTTGTCACCCTTTCAGCTACATGTAGATTATAGCCCTTTTAATAATTATCCTTTTTAACAGTGTACTGAATAGGAACTGGAAGCAATACAACAGGCAGCCCATCAATATGAACTAATCCTGCCTATTATTCAATTACACCAAAAATTTACTCATCTTTCATTTTTGTAATAATTCTTTTTAAAATTTATGGAAAGCTTGTTGCTGTTGATGACTGTTCTGGTTTGGTAAGTAGAATCAGGCAAAAAACATGATCTGGTACAATCTTTCTTCTCTTTAATTTGAAGTAAAGAAGACTCAACATGAAAAAAGAGATTTGAAATTCTTGACATGTTTATATATTTATACTTTGTAAACCAAATCAAACTCTGAGGTTTAAAGAAACTTGCTTAAGAATTAGACAGAAATTAGAATGTTTGTAATTTTCATAAAATATTAGCTGAAGTTTGTCTAGGGAAAGATTCTTTGCAATATTCTAGGTAATGGATGTTGCTAAAGAAACATTTTTAAAAGCTGATGTCTGTAATCATAAAATTACAAATTCATCAGCTAAACACCTTTCATATATACAAAACATTAAAATTTGTTTTTATTGTCTTTACTCAAATTGTCAATGTTTAAAAGAAATGTTTAAAAGCGGAAAACTAAGTGTAGAAGGAAGGAATACATCAAGAAACATACGTGTGATGACATCTATTAACATTTAGGTTTTCCTAAAATCGATAATTTAAATATTCAACGTTTCTTATTGTTAAACCTTTTGAATTTAATATCGGATCTATCTTTTCAAACATACTGAAAACTGGTTTCAATTCAAATAGAAATAGCAAGAGAAACGGTATCTGATTTTGCTTAATAAGATTGGGTTACACAACTGATGGATTTCAAAGGTTTACACTCGATACAAATTTGAGTCGGTATGAAACCTTCTAAAATCTAAACTACGTACCTTATTTAAATATTTAAAGACAACTAATTAAAGAAACAACAAGTAAATAGAAATAGCAAGAGAAACGGTATCTGATTTTGCTTAATAAGATTGGGTTACACAACTGCCAGGGTGGAATCCATGTGAAGCTCACGCCAGATTTACGCCAATAAACAAAGGTTTACACTCGATACAAATTTGAGACGGTATGAAACCTTCTAAAATCTAAACTACGCACCTTATTTAAATATTTAAAGACAACTAATTTAAAGAAACAACAAGTCTTTTTGAATATGTCGTTCCAAGCAATAGGTATCTATCTACAAATGCGATAAGAGCTCCAACCTTATGTAACCCCTGCGCTGTCCAGTCGTCATGAATTTGAGCAAATAGTTAACAATCCAGGTTGCTGAACTTCCAGAATCTTTAACACTCCTGAATTCATAAGAAACCAAAATTTCAATCAACACATGCGATAAAAACGCCAACCTTTGGGCAAATTGTTAACAATCCTGGATACTGAACACCCAGAACCTTTAGCATCCTTTAATTCATAAAGAAACCAACCCAGATAAGATATGTGAATTATATTTCAACAAAAGTAGGCCAGACACAGAACAGCTGAATTGAATTTCAGAATCTTTATGCCTCCGTAGCAGTTGTAGGATACCTAACTGCCAACAAACTGATAGTCAATCACCGACTGGAGTTTGGGGGATTTCAATGTGTAACAGCCAATCAACATAGTTGGAACCCTCGGAACCCAAGACATCCCCGCAAAAACCCTTTAGCCAATCAGAATTGAGCTTCTTAAAACTTCAGCACTACTGTGTTAATTTGCTGGACAAAAATTGCACAAAAGTTGAGGCACATCCCCATATGACAGATATTGAAATACCCCTGGGATTGCAGAGCGGTTCTCTTTGGTTTCTAAAGTGTTTGAGTAAATTAGGGTTACTGATCTGCTGTTGTGATCTGAATCAGACTGTCAATATCCAAGCAATTCAAAATTGCGGAAATCAGTCGCCACTTTAAATGACAGTTTGCAGTATGCTATCTGTGCTCCAATTCTGAAACCGGTCGCTATTGTTTCTTGAAAATCTGTGAAAACTGGTGACCATATGTTTCCCTTACGCAAAAAGATCGGTGGCTAAAAAGCATATTCAATATCGATATGCAAAGTTCAAATTGTGAATGCACGGTAATGACACAGAATAGAGATAGGTCGCAAATGAAACAGAATGAAATATGGAGGAGAATGAAAATCTGAAGTCTTGTATTGAGGGTTTTTACATTTGTTTTCGAAATAATTTGTGGAAATTAGAATTGAAGTTGAAAGAGGAGAGTCAGGCTAAATGCTAAATGAGGTATGCTAAATGGAGTAATATACCGCTCGACCAGCAAGCAGAATAGCTATTGCGAAAGTCAGGATTGGCAAATGAAATATCCACGAGAATCTTGAAAACAAGAAACCATTGAGGTAAACAATTGTTTTTAATGAGCTTTGAAGTTAAGGTGACATTTTACAAATGGAAACTTGTGACAAGAGAAATTGAAACATTCTTACTTGTATGTAGTGGAATGCCTCCTTGCCTTCTCATTTGATTCTCTGGAAGTGTTTCAGAGACTAAACTTTGAAGAATGTTATTTAGCCCAGGTTTGAATTTTCTTATTCAGAATAAATATTGCTCAAAATGTAGTGCTGAAATGTTCTCTCCGGTATATCTGTTCTCTCTTTCTCCTAGTTTTCATTTTCTTTGTATTGATGATAAGTGGCTTGGAAGGTTGAATAAGCCATTAGGGTTGATTGGCTAATTTTGGAAAATTTTAGAGATGTTAATATGATAGAGGCAAAAATTTGCTTTTTCTTTCATTTTTTTTCCCAATTTATATTTTTTCACAATAAAGTATAAATTATATAAGCATAATGGCTCGAATTTGCCAACAATATGTTTTGATTAGAATCCAATGCATTGTTCTCCATTCCACTGTTCCGTGGGCTTGAATCCCGTGACTGTCAAATATAAAGATATGAAAGCAGACAAACAAGCTATAATTTTATACAATTCACAATTAGTGAATTGTATAAAAACAGCAAACATCTTTTTAGGCTATAATTCTGAAAATTACAAGCATAATTGAAGGCAAGGCAATTTACCTGGTGCTTATAAAATGTATGTTCTTTTCATTGATAATTTGATCTTCTGCAAGCTCATCAGAATTCCAGAAGTTCTGCTTTTGTCATAACAATCTAGTTGTAAAATTAATATATATTTCTAGATTTATTTTTAAATACAAATTGCAAATTGTATTCTTATAAGCAAAAAGAAAATGCCATTTTCTTCTTAATTCATCCTTAGAGCAACAGCTGACAGTAATTGTTTGTACAATGTGTTCTCTTTAGCGCTAATTGGAGATGAATCTTTGAGCAGATGTCTTCAGATACTTACGTCTATAGAGCTTCTGTTACATTGCTCATACTATGCAGAACACCCCCGTATAGCTGCTGTTTCTCAAAATGAAGAGATCTAAACAGATTTCCGTCAAAAAGCACCCTCGCCTAGGCTTGCATGAGCAATGTTCAATCTCTTGCATTTCAAATAAAAGAACATGATAGTTTAAGTAGGTGGATTCTACAAGTAGCGAAAGGAAACTGTGATGACATAAAATGGTCATCACTTGTGTGCCTCTTGGGTCTATGGTCTGTTGTTGGCATTAAAGTAAACAGAGTATTCCTGAATGATGATGACAAAGGTATCAACAGGCTTTTTCATTGTGTTGTGAATCCTTGAAATGGGAATAAAAAAGGGCAGGGTTTGATGTTAGGATAATGTGGTCCAGAATAGGGAATGACTTTTCTCAGGTACATGGATTTAAAGCAAACCATTGTGTGCCAATGGTTTCGTGCAAACAGACAATGACAGGTGGGAAAGAAGATCTTATTCTGCAGCGAAAATGAGGGAACAAAGACCTAGAAGAAGAAATGATTTGCGTGCCCGTTGCAAAAAAAATCAAACTTGATGATCACGTGCTACCGAGCATTTAAAACTGAAACAGATGAAATTGAGTTTTAGTCAGAGTGACACAAAGCTTCTTTTAAGAGCTGAAACCAACACATGTACGAAGGATCCAATTAATGTTCCTGACACCAAGGACCAGGGGAGAGGAAAACCGGTGATTCACTGCACTGATACAAATATTCTCGAAATCGATCTGCAAAAATCACCAGGTAAAGTCAACCATTCACAGAAATACACTGTTGCAGATGGAGCAATTCAGGAATATTTCACAACATATTACCAGTCTTGTGCTTTGCAAATGGCGTTGTGGGAAGACAAGTTAGTGCTAGGGAGTATCGTTGTTGCCGAGAGGCCCACACAGCCTATGGAAAAGTGGGTTTTGATGGACTTTTGGACAGTCTAAGCTGCATTACAGAACAGGAAGACTTCAAGGCACTTGTTAGCAAAGAAGTGTTAAAA